AAACCCACTTAAAGATACTAATACAACTGTAAACTTAGTAGTTCAAACCCACTTAAAGATACTAATACAACTGTAAACTTAGTAGTTCAAACCCACTTAAAGATAGTAATACAACTGTAAGCTTAGTAGTTCAAACCCACTTAAAGATAGTAATACAACTGTAAACGTAGTAGTTCAAACCCACTTAAAGATAGTAATACAACTGTAAACGTAGTAGTTCAAACCCACTTAAAGATAGTAATACAACTGTAAGCTTTAGTAGTTCAAACCCACTTAAAGATAGTAACACAACTGTAAGTTTAGTAGTTCAAACCCACTTAAAGATAAAGTTGAGTTACTTGTATTAGTATATATAAAAGGGTTTGAACTACTAAGGTTACACTTATTTGCATTAGAGTAGTTCAAACCCATTTAAAGATATTATTACAACTAACTGTAAATTTAGAAGTTCAAACCCATTTAAATATACTAATATAGTGTGTTCTAAGATGATGGATTAAATTGATATAACAGCACTGCGATCAGTGGAATCATACACAATACGTTTATCTGTTTGTTAAAAAAAATTCCAACATAATTTCCCTCGTAATTAATGGAAAAAATCACATCATCATATTTTGGTAACCAATCAGCCACCTGAGTTTATGACATTTCTTCTTTCTTCGCTTCACTACTCGTAAGCATCAAATCATCTTTCCGGAGTGACACACCTGGAAGAACGGAGACAATACCTTTTCTTTCCAGAGTGACACATCTGAAAGAACGGAGACAATACCTTTTCTTTCCAGAGTGACACACCTGAAAGAACGGAGTCAATACCTTTTCTTTCCAGAGTGACACACCTGAAAGAACGGAGGCAATACCTTTTCTTTCCAGAGTGACACACCTGAAAGAACGGAGTCAATACCTTTTCTTTCCAGAGTGACACACCTGAAAGAACGGAGACAATACCATTTCTTTCCAGAGTGACACATCTGAAAGAACGGAGACAATACCTTTTCTTTCCAGAGTGACACACCTGAAAGAACGGAGACAATACCTTTTCGTTCCAGATTGACACACCTGAAAGAACGGAGACAATACCTTTTTTTTCTTCTGGTTTAGTTATTTATTGTTTTGGTCCATTTACTAATGAGATAACGAACAAGGTGGTTGATTCGTTTGCCAAAAAAATTTCGGTATTTATATCGATTCATGTGCCAATGAAAAGATAAATAGTAGAATAATAAGTTCAATTCTTGTGCTATAAATTGGTAACAGTTATTTTAGTTTATGTGCCAACAAGATAAAGAAGTAATTGCCGTTCTTGCTCCACTGATACAGACGCGGATTGGCCTTGTAGTAGAGCTTTGGATTTCGGAGCTGGGAAGGCGGGTTCAAGTCCGTGAGATACCAAAACATATTCCCCGCACTTTTAGTTATTGGAGCGTTATAAGCGTGACAGTCAATTCCTTGGCGTGGATAGTTGGTGGTGTTGACTGGCTGACTTGGCTGTAATGCATGGTCAGTAATTCCAAATTAGGAGTGGCAAATAGCCTTAGTAGCTTTGCCATAAATACAGAACACAGCTTAATCCGAAATTAATATTAACATGTGTAAATAAGTGACAGAAGTACTAATTTGCTTATGTTTATGTGTGCATGCACCACCAAAAATAAAACCCAAAAACGTACTTAAGCACGCATAAACGTTTTTTGCAAATATAACAGAAAACATTTTAATGTAATTGAACTCTTTTTCAAGCCGAATATTGGATAAATATTACAAAATTGAAAAATTCAAAATGATTTGCTTCATGTACAGTTTATGTGAGCTATCGAGCAGCGTTCAAATTATTCAAGTTTTATGGCTGCGCGCACATAGTGGAACATACACAATACACCTTGGGTGCAGCATGTCAATAGTTGATATGAAAATGCACTTCAGAACTGATTATTCCAACAATGACGCAAGAGTAAATGAACAAACTTGTGCATATTTTCAGAAGTTCTAATATTTGGTTAATGATTAGGTATATATAATTTTCTTCAAACAATAAGTTAAGACCGATGACTCATTGGTGTAAAATTGAGCTTCGTATGGGAGACAGTTTGTTGTCTAGTTTTGTCTACATGCACATCATGTTTAACATACGTTGTGTAATCTTAGGAACACTTTAGAAATACCTGGTTCATGTTTTTCATATTATCTGTACGTTGTCTTTCAGAGAGAAAGAGGAAGACTTAGAAAGAAAGTTTGAACTCTTGAACCGGGAACTACGGGCGATGTTGTCGCTTGAAGGTATGTGGTCAGTCGGAATTAAACTGTAGACTCGTAACGTGTATGAACAGTATGTATTAACTCGCAAATAAATTTTCTACCGTTTGCTGCCTCTAGGTTTCCATATATTGACTAATTTCATATTTAACACTAAAGAACCGACAAGAAATTGAGTACTTCACTAATTTCCTACATAAAATAGAATTTTGTTAAAATTGTGTTTGATTCGTAAAGTGAGTCACAACACCTACCCATACCACCCTCGCTCGACACTACATTTATTTCACTCCCACAGCTTTTGGTTACAGTTGAACAACCTTTTACCAGCGCTTCAGTTTATGACATCATTCTGTTATATTAATTAAACACATACAACTGTTATCGTTCAATATGAAGTGTTTATGTGGTTTGGTGCGAAGAAATGTGATTTGCAACAATACAAGTATATGGACTGTACTTTACTCTGGATGTGAATCGATACAAATTAAATAAACTACTGCACAAATACCGCTTAATTATTCCTTTTATTTGTCATATTCTTAGTTTTTAATCAGATTCATCATAGTTATACTTTGCACTTAAACAGGAGTTCTCTAACTTTCTCAGCGCAAGAACACCCAGAACATTCTGTATTCTGACTCAGGTCCCCCACCCAATGAATCTATAGATACTGAGCACCTTAAAAGTATTGTGTGTGTGTGTTATGTATTTTGTACGACTTCGTTGACACTTTCCTGTGGTCCCCGGGAATGGGTGCGTCCAAGTTTGGAAACCACTGCCCTAAAATAATGTTTTCAAAGACGAATCTATCATACGCTGTAGTAATACACATATCCATGCGCGATTTTGTTTTGTTTTGGTGCGTCTTTTTAGAAAACTTCAATACTGTATATCCTGAATTATCAATATATTCCAGGGTGAAAAATGTAGCAGTTGAGGACTTGACGTTTTACCAAGGTTTATAAATATAGAACCTTGTTTAACATTCTTTGCTCCAGTTTCCTCTTTATGTGTAAGATTTTATACTGAACTAGAACTGGATGTAATCTCAGCACTCGAGATTTCAATTGCTTATACTAGTAACTTCATTAACAGTCTACACTATAACAACTTTACCAACAGCTTATACTAGTAACTTCACTAACAGTCTACACTATTATAACTTTACCAACAGCTTATACTAGTAACTTCACTAACACTCTACACTATTATAACTTTACCAACAGCTTATACTAGTAACTTCACTGACAGTCTACACTGTTATAACTTTATCAACAGCTTATACTAGTAACTTCACTAACAGTCTACACTATTATAACTTTACCAACAGCTTATACTAGTAACTTCACTAACAGTCTACACTATTATAACTTTACCAACAGCTTATACTAGTAACTTCACTAACAGTCTACACTATTACAACTTTACCAACAGCTTATACTAGTAACTTCACTGATAGTTTACACTATTATATCTTTACCAACAGCTTATACTAGTAACTTCACTAACAGTCTACACTATTACAACTTTACCAACATCTTATACTTGTAACTATATTAACAGTCTACACTATTACAACTTTATCAACAGCTTATACTAATAACTTCACTAACAGTCTACACTATTATACCTTTACCAACAGCTTATACTTGTAACTATATTAACAGTCTACACTATTACAACTTTACCAACAACTTATACTAGTAACTTCACTAGCAGTTTACACTATAACAACTTTACCAACAACTTATACTAGTAACTTCATTAACAGTCTACACTATTACAACTTTACCAACAGCTTATACTAGTAACTATATTAACAGTCTACACTATTACAACTTTACCAACAGCTTATACTAGTAACTGCACTAGCAGTCTACACTATAACAACTTTACCAATAGCTTATACTAGTAACTCTACTAACAATCTACACTATTACAACTTCACCAACAGCTTATACTAGTAACTTCACTAACAGTCTACACTATTACAACTTTAGGAACAGCTTATACTAGTAACTTCATTAACTGTCTACACTATTACAACTTTAGGAACAGCTTATACTGGTAACTTCACTAACAGTCTGCACTATTACAACTTTACCAACAGCTTATACTAGTAAATTCACTGACAGTCTACACTGTTATAACTTTACCAACAGCTTGTACTAATAACTTCACTGACAGTCTACACTATTATAACTTTACCAACAGCTTGTACTAATAACTTCACTGACAGTCTACACTGTTATAACTTTACCAACAGCTTATACTAGTAACTTCACTAACAGTCTACACTATTATAACTTTACCAACAAGTTATACTAGTAACTTCACTAACAGTCTACACTATTAAAACATTAACAACAGCTTATACTAGTAACTTCACTAACAGTCTACACTATAATACCTTTACCAACAGCTTATACTAATAAGTTCACTAACAATCTACACTATTACAACTTACACTAGTAACTTCACTAACAGACTACACTATTACAACTTTACCAACAGCTTATACTAGTAATTTCACTTACAATCTACATTATTACAACTTTACCAACAGCTTATACTAGTAACTTCACTAACAGTCTACACTATTA